AATTGTCTGACCGCGACTCTGTATCGGACTGCCTCTGACTCGATTGACTGACTCGCTCGCTCTGACTGACTGACAGACTCCTGACGGACTTCACTCCAGACTTCAGACTGAACGGTATTTAGTCACCCCCACGACGAGGGCATCATGTGGAACAAGGTTGGTTTAACGTAGGATCTCCGAACCCGTGGGCTCGGCCCAAAATATGCCCTTTGAACCCGTATAAACGGGTTCAGGGTCGGTTTACCTCCCCGAAAGAGACTCCGCCCTTCGGCCTAGCCTCGTTCGGGTTCCTCCCCGCCCGAAGGCAGAGAGTTCAACCGATCAGCCAGTCAGCCGGTTTCCCGACTTCAAATTGAACAGTATTTAGTTACCCCCCGCCACGAGGGCATCATGTGGCACAAGGTCGGTTTAATGTGAGATCTACGAGCCCGTTGGCTCGGCCAAAAACATGCCCTTTGAATCCGTATAAACGGGTTCAGGGTAGGTTTACCTCCCTGAAAGAGACTCCGGCCATCGGCGTAGCCTTGTTCGTGTTCCTCCCCGCCCGAAGGCAGAGAGTTCAACCGATCAGCCGGTCAGTCGGTCGCCCGACTTCGGACTGAACTCCCTGCTTCCTCATGAGGCACAGTATTTATTACGTATGGAATAGTTCATTATGTTATTATGGGTAAGGTCCCATAACAAATATATTATACATTTTTGATGCTTTTCATGAATTATGGCAGAAATATGGTGTTTAATGATTTTTCGTGTAGCGAATTAATCCTGTATCTGCATCTGGTTGCAGTAAAATATGTTGTTGTTTTGTTGTGTGGTATTTTTATTACTGATGTAATGCATTTTTCTAAGAATAATTTTATTTTTTTATCAATCATGTATTTGGGAAAATTATTGTTGACTAATGTTTGTTTTATGTGTTTTAGTTCAACCAGAAATATTCTCTGGAAAGATGAATTTGGGTATTATCTATTCAGGGATATTTTTTATCACAGCTATTTTATATCATTCGAGCATTGGCTGTGCTAGTTGAGAAGACAAAAGTTCGTTTTGGGGATTTGTTTTTATACGGGCAAGTGGTAAATACTTTGGATTTTATTTCTATATAGGCGGCAAGGAATGGGATTTTTTTATTAACTATAAATTCGTATGTAAATTTTAGCTTTGAGTTTTTCAAAAGTGCATATTAGATTTATAATATACAGGGCCTTTCTTATAGTGAGGTGTTTCCGGTAATGTGATTTATATAGAATGTGTTTACGACCAGAATTTTTCTTAAGGATACTTGCAAATTGTAAGCAGATATATCTTTTTTTTTATAGTACATTAAACTACAAAGGGATACATGAGGCGTCTAAATAAAGAGGTGGTAGTATGTCCGATATATGGAATTTATTTGTGACAAGAAACTCAATTTTCTACTGGGCAGTGAATTTAATACATTATATTGATCATCGCTAGTTTAGATTTGATGGGGTGAATTTGATTAGTGTTAATAAGGATTGTGATTTTCAATTTTCTGTAATAGATTATAAATTTTATGTTTTCCTGATTATATGGCAGAAATATGGTGTTTAATGATTTTTCGTATAGCGAATTCATCCTGCTTATAATTATTGTCTATCTGGTTGCAGTAAAATATTTTGTTGTTTTGTTGTGTGGTATTTTTATTACTGATATCGTGCGTTTTTGTAAGAATAATTTTATTTGTTAATCAAATCATGTATTTGGGAAAATTATTGTTGACTAATGTTTTTTTTTTTTATGTGTTTTATTTCAATCAGAAATATTCTCTAGGAAGAAGAATTTAGGTATTATCTATTTAGATAGGTTTTTTTTTTATCACTACGATTTTATATCTTTCCAGCATTGGTTATGGCAGTTGAGAAGACAAAGGTTCGTTCTGGTTAGTTTTTGTTTTTTATACGGATAGGTGGTAAATAGTTTAGATTTTAGTTCTATATCGATGTCAAAGAATGGGATTTTATTATTAACTATTAGTTCTTATGTAAATTCTAGTGTTGAGCTTATCAAAAGTTGATTTTAGTTTTATAATTTCGTTCTTATTTTTTTTTATTTAAACAAAAATGTCGTTAATGTACCTTGTGTAAATTTGTTATTTGTCCGTTGCTTTAAACACCATCTTTTCGATATAAGACATGTAAAAGTTCGATAAAGCAGAAACTAATGATTTTCCCATCCTGACACCATCGGCTTGGATCATCATAGAATAGGGCTTTCGTGGTACAGGCGAAGAATAATTTCGGAAGTGTTGTTGGTCGAAAATTTTGATGAAGGATTGATGGGTGCTTGTGGATGCAGTTATTCATGATGTTAATTGTTTCTTCAACTGGGAATGTTATCCTCATCTTCATTGCAATATTTACAACGTTTCGGTCGTTGTACGCTCCGGCCTTCTTCTGGTGATTGGAATTTCGGATCGAACTCTTTATTTCGTTCACCGGAGTATATTGTTCTAGTTCCACGTGTCATACCTCTTGCGGATGTCTCAGTTATTTACCTTTAACTCAACAGCTTTGATCATCATAGAATAGGGCTTTCGTGGTACATGCGAAGAGTAGTTTGTGGTTTTCCATTTTCTGTAATAGATTATAAATTTTATATGTTTTCATTTATAGCAGAAATATTGTGTTTAATGATTTTTCATTCTGCTTACAATTAATGTGCATATAGTTACAGTAATAAAAATGTTGACGTTTTGTTGTGTGGTATTTTTATAAGTGATGTCGTGCGTTTTTGTAAGAATAATTTTATTTATTTATTTATGTAGCTGGGAAAATTATTATTCAGTAATGTGTTTTGTTGTAGCATACCTACGGACGATAATGGGTATATCCCCATTCCCATAAGTACAGTAGTAAATACTGTATGTTGGTCTGCAGTTTGCGCTTCGTCACCAGCTGTGCTGGTCAAAGTATCTGCCTCGGGGCAGAGAGGATCTGAGACGAGGCTATGTCGAAGGACAGAATCTCGTCTCGGGAAACAACTACCTGACCCCGTTTTATATGGGGTCTACGGGGAATTTTTGGCCAATCCTACGGGCTCGGATACACCACAATAAACCCTGCCTTGTGCCACATCTGACCGCGCGGGGCGGTTGGTAGATATCTTGCAGTTGGAGATTCATTGTGAAATTCACTTGACTCACTTCTAGCAGTTGACTACTTCTTCGCGCCGCCGGCGAATCTTATATGTGTTGTTCTTGTCCTAAATATTATCGTCCATTATCAACCATCGTTTGATTATTCTATCTAGTAACCTCCCCTAAGTTACAACAGTGTTTTAATTGACTACAAAACAATACCTTGTCCAATGGCAAAATCTGCGGGTGATGCAAGGGATGGCAGTACCCTCTTACCCACAGAACCTGTGTTACCTCCCCTGGTTGGCGGCTGATGAGGGCAGGGTATCGCACTTGCTTTCACAGGTTGTGTGTAGGTAATTTTAGAAACAAAGAAGAGAGTACTGAACTGTTATGTAATATCGTTATTCCTATATGAGTGCGAAAGCTAAGCATCTCATTTCAATTCCAGAACAGACCTGAGAAAACAGAAATATCACTCTACTGAAGGATGCTGAGACAACTATAGACTGAATATTTGACCAAAGTCGTTGTTTTAGAGAAAATGGAAACAAAAATGGCACTCATAAGTAACAACAGAAAGAGGCAGTTAAATTTTCTAGGGTATATAATAAGGAAAGAAGGCTTGGAAAATTTGATTCTCACAGGTCATATTGAAGGCAAGAGGGACAGAGGAAAACACCAAATAACCTACCTAACGAGCTAATGTAAATGGTTGGCAGAACAGGGATTAGGAAAGATAGCAAAAATACAAACTTAACTAAAGGCTAGAAAGAAGAGGAAGTTGTGTAGGGCCATGTTTTATTCCTTCATCTTGAATGGACACAACACATAGAAAAACTATTCCAGTATCCTTTACAGGAATATATTTCCATACTGATATAATATACGACGTCTGATCACAAGGTATCGGGGTTAGTGCTATAAAAACATACTACTATATATATCAATTCAGCATTTAATCTTCTACGAAGTAGTTCCCTTCTGAAGACGCACACTTTATCCAGTGGCGTTTCCATTGATGGAAGAATTCCTGGAACTCCTCTTTTTGAACAACAAGCATCTGCTTTGCCACATTCTCTTGGATTTCCTTAACGTCACTCGATTGAGTTTTGATTTTTAGAAAGCGGAAATTGCAAGGGACAAAATCTGGAGAATATGGTTGCTGTCAGACCTGGGGACGGTTTCATTGGCCAAAAACTAGTGTACAGGTTGTGGTGTGGTGTAGTGTAATGTGATGACCACACTCTACACAATGTCTTCCTAAGCACTGCTATAAACAAAGGAAGTGAGTTAGAATGTTATAACTTAATGCGCATGCGCGACAGAGTTCAATGTCAATCTGTACCAAGCGGTTTCATTCGACCTACTTTAGCTCCGTTACCATAGCAACAGTCTCAATATTTTTTTTTTTATCAGACCTCGTATCGCCCTTCTTCACAAAAGTTCTATTAATGCAATTTGGTCTAATTAGAAATTAAAAAAATGGCCCTTACACTAGGTAACAATATGGCGGATCTCATTGCCTATTCGTTCACCAAAGCCATCGACTATCGTACCCAAAATTTTTAAATGTTGATTCTTCACACCATGTCGGCATAGAACACCCGGCTAAGTTCAGTTTCGTGCTCTCATTGGACACATTTAATGAACTCTCGCTTATTTTTTTTTTAAAGATTCATCTATTTTTTTGGTATGCCTCGGGTCATATGATCCCTAATTGTTCTTTTAATAAAATATGATACAATAATTATTGAAGGTTTTAGGTATCTTTGTGCATTAAACCTATCTATCTATCTATCTATCTATCTATCTATCTATCTATCTATCTATCTATCTATCGAGATACCTGTCTATCTGTTCAGTCTATTCATATCTATCTATCTATCTATCTATCTATCTATCTATCGAGATAGATAGAATAGATAGATAGATAGATAGATAGATAGATAGATATGAGCAGAGATATATACTTGATAGATAGATAGATAGATAGATAGATATGAACAGACTGAACAGATAGACTTGTATGAACAGGGTGTGATAGATAGATATAAGCATAGATAGATAGATAGATAGATAGATAGATAGATATGAACAGACTGAACAGATACACTGGTATGAAGAGGCTGAGATAGATAGATATGAGCATAAATAGATAGATATGAGCATAGATAGATAGATAGATAGATAGATATGAGCAGAGATAGCTAGCTAGCTAGATAGATAGATAGATTTAGTTAGAAAGAGAAGCGAACAGGTAGAAACAGATATCTCAACCCACATTGAAACATTTATACAAAGACTGAGAAGAAAGTAAAAAAAAAAAAGTTACATGACATCTTCCGAGGAAGAAAAATATTAACTTCACTTGTATTAAATACAAGAGTTGTTAATTAGCTCTTCGACGCCTGAAACAACCTATCGACATTCCAAAGGAATCGTACAAAAAAGCCTTAAAAATTAACGCGTATGTGCGCATGCGCACACTCTTGAGCGTCCAAACGCACTCGCATATTAATATGCACACGTAAAAAATATATATAAGATACTTACCTTTTGCTTTAGAATATGCTTTTTCATAAAGACAGTATTATATACTAGTCAAAATTGATAACAAGATTTCATAATTCTTCATTTACGAACCTATAAAAATAAAAACGCTAATAATATTACTACTAATATTAAAGGAAAATTTGAAAATGAAAACAAATATGGCGCTGAGATGGGCAGCGAAATGAAGCAACATGTTTAAAGTTGGTACTTCCACAGATTCCCGTTACGTAAGTTTCAAAATAAATTTTCAAAGATGAAAAATCTTTCATGAAGATTCTGTTTTAGGTTTAATTTCATGCTGATAGATTACATTTAAGATTTCACTTGCTGTATTTCAGATCTAATTCAAATTGATTGGAATGAGTTTTTGTTTTAAAATTGTTAAATTTGTTTATTTTTTTTTTTATTTTAACTCCATTTTAGCCTCCTGTCATCCGAATGTGATTCTCCTTATTAAAAAAAAAATCTTCCAAAAATAAGATATACTTTTCAGGCAACTTGCACAGTAGCAAGCCACTTACATTCCCTTCCGTATTTCATCGGTGAGAAGTAAGTCACACTCAAACAGCTTATTAACGCAAGACGCAGCTATGTGGAACCGACTCCCAAAAGGATCATTCCCCGATCACTACAGTCTTAATCTGTTCAAGACTAGAGTTAACCGTTATGTTCCTCTACGAACAAATTACTATTAATGTTAACCTTTAATTCGAGGGACCTCTGGGCCTTGTAAATGGTGAAACTTATTTACTTATATATATATATATATATATATATATATATATATATATATATATATATATATATATATAACTTTTTTATACGATCGTGGTGATGTTCTCTGTCTCGTCTCTTTTTTTGTGTGTATATATATTTAAATATGTCTGGGTGCTTATATATTATAATCTGAACCCATTCACACACTCTTAGGATTAAAATGGATACATTGTCAAAAGACCGGATATAAAATTAGCTAAAGTAATTTCAATGAAGAAAGAAATTGAATAACATATATATTTCTTCTTTTCTCCTCAGTAATTTTATAGCTGTAAACTTAATAGCGATTAAATTTTGATCTTGAAATTAGCAGTTTTTAATTTTAATTTTAGTAATTATTGGTTAGAATAAATTCTTTTTTAATACTACCCATATTTTAAATATTTGAATAGCTATTATAACATGACGTCGTTGTCAAGCTTTTTGAATTCTCCTATACTTGTATTTTGATTGGTCCATCTAGCTTTTGTAACAACGTTTTCCCCTTGTTAATTAATTCGAAACTTTTAAAACCATTTATTTTACATTCAACATCATCACTTGATAAGACACTGAGAGTGTTGAAACAAAATGGCTATTTTTGTAGTGATTTTATAACATACTTATGTTATAATTTTTTTATAAAAAATAATTATATATAACCATAAACCTAAAGAGACAGGCAAACCTACCTATGTTTCACCTACGCGGATCGTGAGGGTATGCTGGCCCAGCATACCCTGACGATCCGCGTAAGTGAAGCCTTCGTAGGTTTGACTGGCTCTTTAGATTCATAGTTAGGTTTACTCTACTTAGTGTATTGAGGACTTTACTTGGTTACTTTTGCTTTACTCATTTTAGAGCGTTTTTCTTTGGACTCGGAGCTTGGATTCTAGACGATTGTTTTCGCCTGAATTACATGTTCTTAGTTCTTACTTTTTTTATCCCTTATTTTACAAGCCAAAACACCTAAGGTTTTTCCAGACTCGTATAATTACTTATATTATTATTATTATTATTATTATTATTATTATAATAAATACATATATATATATATATATATATATATATATATATATATATATATATATATATATATATATATATATATACGAGTAAGATGGGAACGAATAGAATAAACCAGATATGGCTTATATTTCTGTTTGTAAGTCTAATTTGGATTTAATATAATTTTGTATTAATTTCCTCGTAGTGTTAATAACATCTTGTACGTATGCATTGGCATTTGGTTCGTATTTTTACATTCTGCATTGATTGATTATTGTTATTAACACCTTATATAAAGAATCTTTAGTCAACAGTTGCATATTATTTTACCAGGTAAGTCTATACGTTTAAATTATTTACTTTTTCGTAAAGAAGCTATTTATTTATCAACTATAAAAATGTATTTTATGTAGGTAACCCACAAAGCATATAACTTATCTAGCATTGTGTTAGATTACTTAATATCTCTCAGGAAATAACATCGTCTAAATGTACAATATCTAGCCATCCACATCAGCTCCTGTTAACGTCTGTTGTTGTCATTGATTTCAAACCTACGGATCATGACTCTTTTATGGGAAATAATTTCTTAATTTTTGCTTCTTCCTTTAGTTTAAATTTAACGTTGGTCAAATTTGATTGGTTGATCTAAGCAAAGCCCACAAACCTTTTAATCACACTTTTTATTTTGTTTTTTTTCTTCGCTTTTTTCTTTTTTCGTAAATACAGGCTATATTTTGCTTTTAAATCTGATTAAATCGTTTAATCGCCAGTAATTTTGAGATGCAATTCGCATTGAGATGCATTGTATTTTGCATTTTTCGAAACCCATGACTGCAATTATATATATATATATATATATATATATTTTATAAATTAATTGATTTAGTCTTCGCCCATTGCCTACGCCTATTGCCTACAAAGACAAAGTCGATCACGGTTACCTGCTATATATATATATATATATTTGCTATAAATATATATATATATATATATATATATATATATTTATTTTATTTATGTTTAATTAATTGTCTTTAAATAAATTGTCTTCGCCTCATTTCCTACATATGACGTCATTTGCCTACGCCAGACTAAGACGAGACCAGTCGAAGATTGTACGGTTACCTTTGCTACCCGGTTGGTGGCTGAGTGGTTAAGGTAGTAGTAAACAAATCATTTTGAACGAATATTTTCTATGAAAATTTCAAATATATCCATTTTGCATATCATTATATATATATATAAATATATATATATATATATATATATATATATATGATGTAATGAATATGCATACACCTGGGTCCCCCACAGTAATATGATTGGCTGGTGTCAGCCATAAATACAGACTGATGTGGAGGTACAGGTACGCCTATTGCCTACGCCTATAGTCTTCACCTATTGCCTACGCCTATAGTCTTCACCTATTGGCTACGCCTATAGTCTTCACCTATTGGCTACGCCTATAGTCTTCGCCTATTGCCTACGCCTATTGCCTACGCCTATTGCCTACCTCTAAGACGAGGACCAGTCGATTACGGTTACCTGCTAGATTGTCCTACCCGGTTGCAGTAGTAAACAACCATTTTGCTACTTCGAACAAATATATCCCTTTCGGGACATATCATTATATATATATATATATATATATATATATATATTATAAATTAATTGATTTAAAATATGTTTTTTTTCGCTACACAGTTCTAACCATGTTTCAAAAATGGAAGCTAAAAGCACCGAATTTAATTTTGTAATTAAATTAAATACATTAGTTCCATTTCATCCTCAAGCGAATATATATATGAAATCTGTCCATTTCATATATATATGTGTGTGTGTGAAATGGGCAAAGTCCAACAATTATTTTAAGACATTTTTTTATGTTTATACGTTCTTTTTATAGATACAAATATTTAAGTAAATGCTGTGTTTACAATAAACAGTGTTAACGACATTTGCCGCCCTGAACGCCCGCGAAATTTTCATAGTAAATATGAGTCCTCCAATATGTAGGATACAGGTTCGTTTCCTGTCGGATGACGCATATTTTCTATGAAAATTTCTCCGACATTCAGGCCGGTAAATGTAGTTAATACTGTTTATTATAAACAGAGCATTTACTTAAATATTTGTATCTAGAAAACGAACGTATATATATATATATATATATATATATATATATATATATATATATATATATACTGTCACGTATCCAGGGTAGTTGTAACAACAACACTAGATTCATGACAGCAGCTCCGAAAGATTGGGATAGAAGGGTTCAAGACAATAGCAACACTCAGAAAAAAACCTTCAGTCAGCCTACCCGATGTGAAGGGATTATCGGAAAAATACAAAAGATGTATGGTCCATCAAAGAAGTTTCAGCACTTCACTGATAGCTTTTCCGAGTAAGGCGAGAACATGATTAAGAACTGTCTGTACGCAATCCCATACAGCTATAGTAAGAAATATTGAGGAGAAACTGGCTGCTCTTTTAAGATAAGCCCACAGGAACACCGTAAAGCCGAAACACGTGTGAAATAGGATAATCAGGCGAAACTGACCACATATAAAGAGGAAAGACAGATCACTACCCACCTTTGGCATAAGGCTGAAATAATAAACAGGGAACATCACTGGAAAATACGAAAACTTAAGGAATCAGCGTTTATATTTAGCCACAAGAATCTCCTAAGCCGATCAAGCATAGATTTGAATATAATATGAGAACCAGTAATAAGGAGTGCTAGAGAAAACAGCAAAATTGCAATATGAGCTCCGGTAAAAAAAAATGTAACTGAGACGTTAGTTTTACAAGTCCCAAAAGCTGAAACTACGATGTCCTCAAAGACACAGTGGATAAAAGCGTTGGTAGAATCCAGTAACTTGACTG